ATATATATAGGAGGTGAATGATATTTTAAACAAAAGATGATGCAAATTTGTTTCTAAAAAATGTAGAGCCGAAAAGTCAATATCTACAAAATGTCTCAACTCTTGGAGAGTTTGAATTAAGATTAAGTTTAGGAACTATATAATACATCAATATTGAGATCCAGACACATGTTGCAATATAATCATTGTCAGGTTCAACAATCATGTTTAGGTATAATTGAATTGATGGAATTTGGTAACTGAGTCTTGTATCCATGTTTATTTGCATTTAAGAAAGTTAAGTCTTCTTTTATAGGATAATTTTTTGTGGGGAATATTGAAATTCTAGTATAATTAAATATGTGGAGTCTCCCTCATCGGCTAAGGGATGAGGGACTTAGTCTCCTTATATGATTTGGGCAATCTTCACCTCATGAGCTAGTTTTTGATATTGAATTATACCCAATATTCATTTCTTATCAGAATAAAATCTTCTAGTTGAAATTTTTAGCACCAATTAAATTTCATTGGGGTTTATTGAGATAAGTAAGAATTGATAGAAAGTGACACGCGAATAGATTGAGACATGGATAGAGGAGAGACTAGTATACTGAAAGAAAATTAATCTTTCACTCAGACTGTAGCTGATGTTGTTGCTAATCTGAATCGAAGGTCATAATGTCCCACTTAAAAGAAAAAAGTTTAAAAGAGAAATAGAGGGTAGTTTAGACAAAAACTCTTATGATTAAGGCTATTAAATATTTTTCTTAAGGGGTGTGCAAAAACCTCAAAAGACTGAAAATATTAAACTAGTAATTCAAAAGTTAGTTCGATGTGGGAAACATCACGACTTAGATTTGAAGTGTTAAATGAGTTTGGATTCGTGAAATTTGTATGCATTATATTACTTTTGAAAGGTGAGATAAATATTTAGGACATCCTAAAATAGAAAGTGTGGTACATAACTTTGGAGAAATAGGAGTATTTCTGAAGCTAGTAAAAGCACAATGATACATCTCTGTAGCAGAAAATGCAGTGGACAGTTGTTACAAAGTGCATGATGGCTATATTTTACTGTGGTTTTTTACTCTGAGATTTAGTGCATATTTTTCTGCATTTTTGAGTTTACCTGAAGCATGATTAACTAATAAGATTCTTGTTATGCTATATTTGATAGCCATTATATTCTCATTCTGTTGTTCCTAGGGTAGTCCAAATAATGGCATTGTGATTGGATCACCTTCTACGGCGAAAGCAATTCAATTTAAGCCATCAATAAGCAGATCTATCCGCATCACCGACGTGAGTTGTCCATAATATGTTTGACTTTGTCAAGTTAGCGTTTCATAACTCTTAGTTTTGGACTTCATATGCTCTAAATGATGTTATAGATTGCAATGCACCTCCTCTTTACTAGTTAGTATAGGCATTAATTGCTAAATGACACTTTTGAATCCTGAAGAGCTCTTTGATTTTCGTGGAACTTGTAGTGAAAGGAAAATTGAGTTCTTTATTAGGTGGCTGCCACTATATTTTCATCATTGAATGAGAAGTGTATCTGGAAGTTTTTCTTTTTGATGAGGTAAGATGTTTCATTGATGGCATCCAGAAGATGCAGAAATACAAACGAGGTCAATGTTAGCTCCACTACAATTTGTTTCAATACCAGCCAGGGAGCTAACCAAAAAAGCAAAAGAACAAAAACATGGCCCAAGTCAAAGTAAGTGAACTGATAAAATCTAGATGTGAGGCAACATTATTTACAGGGGTTAGGTTGCTCCAACTAAAAAGGTACACTAGACATTTAGCTTTCAAAAAGGGAGGAGGAGTTGAAATACCAGTAAAACATCTGTGATTCCTTTCTTGCCAAAGAACCCAAAAGATACAAGGGGGGATCATCTTCCTGATTTCCTGATGGCTCTGTCAACTTTCCACTTGTTCCACCCTTCAGCTGCTTCTTTAATGCCCTGAGGTAGGGTCCAGCTTACCAGAATGGAAAAAAGCATAGACCACATGAGAACTCCTTTTACAGAGGGTTATCTTGTGTGAGACAGGCTCCCCTAAGGCCTAAGAGGTGTCCAGGAGAAGCAGATTACTTTTTTGGGCAGTTTTGTCTTCCAAATCAGTTTCCAGGGCCAGGAATCAATGATTTCATTCTACTCGCAGAAGTTTCTGTAGCCTGCCTTCACAGTGTAAGAGCCTGATTCAGAGTTGCCCTACTTGAGTCTGTCTGATGCTTGTTCATTCATGGAGAAGATTCCATGTCTTCCATAGAGTTCCAAAGACTTTCCAGTTCCCAGTCCTGCATGTTTCTTCTAAACAGGAGGGTCCCAAGTTGGACCTCCTTCCTTCTGATCTGTTTTGAGCTATTGTTGAGTCTGGAGCATTGTCCATCTGATATAAGGATGGATAACTGTCCTTCAGGGTGTTTGTGCCCAACCATTTATCCTTCCAGAACTTGACATGTAGCCCATTTCCAATCTTGAATGATATGTTCTGTGAGAATTCCTCCCATAGGCTGCTGATGTGTCCATGAGGTGCTTTGTTGTGTTTAGTGCACCAGTGGGACTGTTGCTCATGTTTGGCAGCAATCACCACTTTCCATAAGCTAGAGCCTTCATCTCCAAATCTTCCTAGCCATTTCATTACCATGCTCTTGTTGTGCTTTGCGAGGTCTCTGAATCCCCGTCCACCTTGGGATTTTGGCTGTATTACTCTGGACCACTTGACAAGGTGGAGCTTATGACCTTCAGAGTTACGTTTCCAGCGAAAGGTTCTTCTAGCTTTGTGCAGTTGTTTTAGGACCTTACTTGGGCATAGGAAAGATTGACATGCAATAGGTTGAAATTCTGTCCAAGACACTATTTATCAAGGTCAGTCTGCCACCCACTGAAATGTATTCTAGCTGCCATGTTGACAGTCTTTTTTCCACCTTTCCAGTGACCCGATTCCACACACCAGCTGATTTGTCTTTAGCCCCCAAGGGAAGGCCCAAGTAAGTAGTTGGAAAGGCACCAGCATCTCAGCATAAGATAGCAGCCAGAGCTTCCAAGTTAGGGACTTCATTGACAGGAGGGTATATTACACTCTTTAACATATTGATATGCAGGCCTGAGCTGGCTTCAAATATGAGTAGAGTGAGATTGAGGTGTTGTACCTGAGACCTTTCAGCACCACAAAAGATTATTGTGTCATTTGCATACCATAGGTGTGAAACTGAAATAGAATCTGTTGAAGGGTTTCCTTCTATCCATTGTAGCTGCTTTGCTTTATCGAGCATCTGACTGAGTCCTTCCATGGCTAAAATGAAGAGGAAGGGAGATAGGGGTTTTCCATGTCTTAACCCGTGTATCTGGGAAGTTCTTCTGGATCTCATTATTAGACTAACTTTTTAGCGTCAATTGTGAACAACTTTTAAAATGTACGGTACTAAACAAGAGATAGTTCTCTTGTTACTGCTGTTCTGTATTTATAATAATTGTTACAGGTCCACTTACCTAGTATTATTTAAGGTCTCAGACGACAATGGAGATCTGAATGTATATTCCAAAGAGAGACCTTCTGAGTCGAGATTTTGTGAGTCAACCAGACAGGACTATTCCTATATATACTATTAATAAACACCAATTTTACCTCTGAAAAGGCTTCAGACAATTCCCATTGATACCTCAGATACCATCTAGTCTCTACTGTCATTAGTCTTTAACGTATCTGCGAAACATTAGCATCTGAGAAGAGTACGATTGTTTTCTGCTGCACTTGAACTGCTTTGAAATTTCAATAGGAAGAACACTTTGTATATTTTGGATCATCTTGTGTTGTAAAGTATATGTTCTGCATTTTTTTTTGGTGCAAGTACTTACATCGATCTTGGGCACAGGGCCAGCAAGAATCCTATAATTTCTGTTTTTTATCTAAGTGCCATCAGATATATTTGCAATGCCTAAACTGAAAAGGGTGCCTAGGTCCCCTAGTAATGCCCCATCTCTTTATTGCCCAAAAGGAAAAGTAAACATGACGTGTAGAAGTACTGACGTGTAGAAGTATTGGAACATTGGAGGTTGTCCTATAAAACCCATCAACTGTCACAAAGCTGTGTGTTGAACTTTTGGAGATGAAGCTGCGGGTTGCTTCAGTTTGTCTTTGCCAGCAATTACTCTGTTCTGCTCTCTGAAGACCTTGTGATACTCTTGTTTTTCTTTTGTTTTCCCTTTTTTTATGCCTCTTCCATTCCAGCGGGTTAACATTCATGGAGGTCTTCCTTGTCAATTTGTTCCCAATGGCAGATTCCATTTTTCCTGTGTTTTGACAGGTTTTCTTTGGGTATAGTTTAATTTCTTATAGTGCTTTGAAGCCTGTAAAGTCTTGTTTCCAAAGTTCAGTTTTTCTTTTCAAGTACTTCTGCAACTTTTATACTCGTTCAAGTTAGCCTTGTTTCCTAAAGAAGTTTATCTTTGTGATCATCACCATAATACCCTATGTTTATTCATATCCTTCTATCTTTTTTTTGATGACCGAGAAATCCGTCTGGGGCCGATCCTTTGGACCAACCGCAGCCTTTGAAACTCGGTGGATAATGGGCCCGCCCCTCTACCCTTCTCCACTTAAATACCAGGCTTTGCTTTTGCATGGTGTGGGGGCTCGAACCTGTGACCTAAGACACAAATCCACCACCCTTTGCCACTTGAGCTAGGCCCTGGGGGCATTCATATCCCTCTAATTAGTTCCACCCCTCCCTACTTTTTCTAAATTTTCAGTGTGGATTGCCTCTTTGACTAATTTTAATCCCTTTTTTTTTTGTTTACTAAACTTCTTAGCCTCTAGAGCATATCGGTTGCTTGCTTCCCTAATATTTCCATGTACTTTGATGAGGAGGAACTAGAACCACACATGCATATGAAGGAATGAGCTTGTTTTCTGTATATTGATGTCAATTGACCTCATATACGATTTTTTCCTTTTGCTGCCTTTTTTATTTAATATTTAATCTCATTAATCATTTTTTATATACTGGCTAAAAGTTAACCGCCCAACCCCGGGCAGCTTTCACATTTAGTTCTATCCCCATGCTAACGTTATTCCAGCCTCTATCCTCTCTGATTTAATTTTAAGTGCAACAACTATAACTGCATCTCAATTCTAAGCAAACTAGGATTGGCTATGTGAATTCTCATTGTTCATGTCTCTCTATTTAAGCCTTGTTTCAGTCCAACATTTTAAAAATTAGTTTCTCTGACACTAGAAGTTCTCTACATCTTCCAACAATAACAACTACTCTGCCCCAAACAAGTTAGGTGTGAATACTAATTGACCATGTTTCTCCATTTAAATACATATCAGGCCAATATTATACAAAATAACAACAACAACAAACCCAGTGTATTCCCATAAATGGGGTCTGGCGAGGGTAGTGTGTACCAGACCTTACCCCTGCCTTATAAAGATAGAGAGGTTGTTTCTGATAGACCCTCGGCTCAAGGAACAGTGGAGATAAAACAAGTAGCAAACAATAGTAACAACAATATATTAAGTTAACGGGCGCGAATGACACAACATGTAATAGTAAAGAACCATGAATAAGATAATACAGAAATAGTCCTAGTACTACTGGTAAGCCTATGAGGAACATACTACTATCTGTCAACCTACAACCCTAATCCTCGACCTCCACACCTTTCTATCGTAGGTTATATCCTTGGTAAGCTGGAGCAAAGACATGTCCTGCCTAACTACCTCTCCCCCATACTTCTTTATTAGGACTGCCCCTTCCCTTCCTGAGACCCGCAATGGACAACCTCTCGTACCTCCTGACCGGAGCATCTATGTCTCTTCTTTTCACATGCCCGAACCATCTCAGCCTCGACTCCCGCAACTTGTCCTCCATCGATGCCACTCCTACCTTGTCCCTAATAACTTCATTCCAGTGTTGTTAAAGGCGCGCTTAAAGCGCGCTGTTGAGCGCTCTGCCTCGCTTTCTGGGCGCTTTAGTGTCGCATCAAAGCTCTAAGGCATGCTTTTCCTTGCCAATGAGTGTAATACTGAAAAGTTGACCTTAAAGAATTGATATTTCACTTTATAGTTCAATTTCTTTGCCCATATATTTGTTATTCATGCTTATAATGATTAGTCTTGGACTACATGCATATTTTTAATTTTTTTTCCAATTACGCCTTTTTTCACTAAAGCCTATGCTTTATTTGCGCTTTGCGCTTAAAGCACCAACGACCTTAGAGCTTTTTTGCCCTTTTCACCTTTGATAACACTGCTTCATTCCTGATTCTGTCCTTCCTGGTATGACCATA